CCAGGTAATCAACAAGCGTTTGCAGTGAAATTTCAGTTTCACACGTACAACTCGCACACCTGGCTGTTCTACCAGTAAGTGTACCTTCCTCGTAGGAAATAGAGAAAAGTGACAACAAAATAATGATAGTTTGTTAAACAACTTTTTTATTCTGGTGTCCAAAATTAAAAGACAAATCATCAGAGTTGGTCTGTCGATTTCATGTGACTGTGAACAATTTGGTTTTGTTGCAATTATTAGATTTTGTGTTAGTGAGCACTTCGTCGGTCTAAAATGAAGTCAAACGGACTATAGTGCGTGTCCTCGTTCCGCGTCAGTGTGGCGGTGACTTCCTACTTGTCCATCAGAACCGTTAATCCTCAGCATGGTTTGGTTAGTGGCAGGTACCGTTTCAAATATATTTGCCAGTGATGCTCCATCAGCAGGTCCCCCTCATTAGGATGTTTGGAATATACGTGGGTCGATCAAAAAGTACGTAGACTTACTGTATTCTAGATGTCCAATGTTTGAAAACCTTCCATTTTATTTTGAAGGAATCTTTAGCAAAGTCATATCCACAATTGCACATATGTGAGTAATGTGGTTAACGAGATATTAGTCATCACAACACATTGGGGTATAACATTTCTAACAAAACTGCTGAAAATGAAAAACGATCTGTCACTTGGTACCTCTTGGATAATGGTATGCCCTCAGAGTATATCATATAAAATATGTTCAGTATAGTATCGGATGACTTCCCGTCATAATCAACCGTATAAGATTTGGATTGCTTTATTTATATTTAGTCGAGGGCTGTTTTTTTAAAGGACACCCCCATTTCACTCTTCCTAAAACATTGTGTCCAGATATTCAAGCTGGTACTGTTTACAATATATTGTGAGCTGACACTTGCATGACCATTCAGTGTTTAGTTTGAACCCTTGGTATCATGTATGAATAAGTGAAAACATTAGAATCAATTATGTCCTTATGATTACGTCATCTAAAAGGGGATGGGAAGTGTCTCCCAAACAAGCTCTTTCAGTCAACATAAAGGGAGGAGTCACTTTAACAAGCGATTGTAATTTCAAATTGCTTTTTTCTGAACTTTAATATCTAAGTGTGATCAATCTCAAACACACAAAATATTACTTGCATATTTTGTTTCCTGAAGCTTTTTATGCATTTATTGCAGATTTTGCGTTTTTTAAGGTACCAAGATAAAAGGTCAGATAAAACGGGGATCGTGAGACTGGACCATAGCAAACCCAAAGTGCTTCAGCTTGAAAGATGATATGTAGAAAAAAACAACATTAAAAATAACTGCATTTGTATCGTATTCTTGGTGACTCTACATACTTTTTGATCTCCCCTCGTACATATATTTTATAGATATTTTGATCTGATATATATTATCATTGCGCCACATGTGTCATTTATTTTGACGACATATTTGACAAATAACACATGTTACATATAATATAAATATCACATATTTATATATGATTATAAAATTACATACATTGAGCAATACAGTTCACAGCCCATTAAGATGGGAAACAGCATCGTGGTACTCAAACTTAGATTTTTCATGAACAATGGGGGCGGTGGGGTAGCCTAGTGGTCAAAGCGTTGGCTCGTCACGCCGAAGACCCGGGTTCGATTCCCCACATGGGCACAATGTGTTAAGCCCATTTCTGGTGTCCCCCGCCGTGATGTTGCTGGAATATTGCTAAAAGCGGCGTAAAACCAAACTCAGTCAGTCAGTCATGAACAATGAGTTGTCTATTTTATCTATCAAGGGCATGACTTATAACTCTTATCCTATCAAGTTTGTTTTGTTTAACGCTACACTCGGATATATCACAGCTGTATAATAAATATAATAAGTATATATAAATAGGTATAGTAACGAGAAAAGACAATCCAGTCATCAACAACATAAGCATTGACCTACGCAACTGGGATACGGTGACATGTGTCAACCAAGTCAGAGAGCCTACCACCCGATTCCGTCAGCCCTGTGTTACCTTACGAGCTAGTACCTGCCTAATAAAAACGCACATAGATATTTCTTTATACATCATTATTTTTAAACAAAATATGTGCATAATGGATCCAACTGTGCTTTTCACTATATAATCTTTTCTTTCCTGTGTGCAGTTCTAAAGTTTTCTCTCCTGTGTGCAGTTCTAGTACATTCTTTCTTGTGTTGGAGTTCTAATGTTTTCTCTCCTGTGTGCAGTTCTCATTTTTCTCTCCTAAGTGCAGTTCTATTTTTTTCTCTCCTATGTGCAGTTCTAATGATTTCTCTCCCATGTGCAGTTCTAATGATTTCTCTCCCATGTGCATTTCTAATGTTTTCTCTCCCATGTGCAGTTCTAATGTTTTCCCTCCTGTGTGCAGTTTAATGGGTTTTGTTCCTGTGTGCAGTTCTAATGCTTTCTCTCCTGTGTGTAGTTCTAATGTTTTCTCTCCTTTGTGCAGTTCTAATGTTTTCTCTCCTGTGTGCAGTTTAATGGGTTTTGTTCCTGTTTGCAGTTCTTATGTTTTCTCTCCCATGTGCAGTTCTAATGTTTTCTCTCCTGTGTGCAGTTCTAATGTTTTCTGTCCTGTGTGCAGTTCTAATGTTTTCTGTCCTGTGTGCAGTTCTAATGCTTTCTCTCCCATGTGCAGTTCTAATGTTTTCTCTCCCATGAGCAGTTCTAATGTTTTCTCTCCCATGTGCAGTTCTAATGTTTTCTCTCCTATGTGCAGTTCTAATACTTTCTCCCCTATGCGCAGTTCTTCTGTTTTTTTTCTCCTATGTACAGTTCTAATGGGTTTTTTTCTTCTCCTGTGTGTAGTTCTAATGTTTCTGTCTCCTATGTGCAGTTGTAATGTTTTCTCTTCTGTGTGCAGTTGTAATGGTTTCTCTCCCGTGTGCAGTTCTTATGTTTTCTCTCGTATGTGCAGTTCTAATGTTTCTCTCCCATGTGCAGTTCTAATGTTTTCTCTCCTGTGTGCAGTTTAATGGGTTTTGTTCCTGTGTGCAGTTCTAATGCTTTCTCTCCTGTGTGCAGTTCTAATGTTTTCTCTCCTATGTGCAGTTCTAATGTTTCTCTCCTGTGTGCAGTTCTAATGTTTTTCTCCCATGTGCAGTTCTAATGTTTTCTCTCCTGTGTGCAGTTTAATGGGTTTTGTTCCTGTGTGCAGTTCTAATGCTTTCTCTCCTGTGTGCAGTTCTTATGTTTTCTCTCCTATGTGCAATTGTAATGTTTCTCTCCCGTGTGCAGTTCTAATGTTTTCTCTCCTGTGTGCAGTTTAATGGGTTTTGTTCCTGTGTGCAGTTCTTATGTTTTCTCTCCTGTGTGGAGTTCTAATGTTTTCTGTCCTGTGTGCAGTTCTAATGTTTTCTGTCCTGTGTGCAGTTCTAATGCTTTCTCTCCTATGTGCAGTTCTAATGTTTTCTCTCCCATGTGCAGTTCTAATGTTTTCTCTCCCATGCGCAGTTCTAATGTTTTTTTTCTCCTGTGTACAGTTCTAATGGGTTTTTTTCTCCTGTGTGCAGTTCTAATGGGGTTTTTTTCTCCTGTGTGTAGTTCTAATGTTTCTGTCTCCTATGTGCAGTTGTAATGTTTTCTCTTCTGTGTGCAGTTGTAATGGTTTCTCTCCCGTGTGCTGTTATTATGTTGTTGTTTTACTCATGTGTGCTGTTCTAATGTTTTCGCTCCTGTGTACAGTTCTAATGTTTTCTCTCTTGTGTGCAGATCTAATGTTTTCTCTCCTGTGTGCAGTTCTAATGTTTTCTCCCCTGTGTGCAGTTCTAACGCTTTTCTCCTCTGTGCAGTTCTAATGCTTTCTCTCCTGTGTGCAGGTCTAATGCTTTTTTCTCGTATGTGCAGTTCTAATGTTTTCTCTCCTATGTGCAGTTCTAATGCTTTCTCTCCTATGTGCAGTTCTAATGGTTTTTTTCTCCTGTGTGCAGTTCTAATGGGGTCATTGAGTTTTTTCTCTTCCTTTCTTGGGTTCTTGGACGTAGCATAGCAAACCGTCTTGGCTTTGTATCAATCATTCTTGTAACCAGACATTCTTGAAGACACTTCATTTGTGGCGACAACTCGATATCTCTAGGGATCATGCTGGACTTCCCCGAAAAAAGCAGCCTGAGTCAACTCTTTCAGTTCAATTTATGACGATCCTTGTCTTCTACTCATATCGACAATTAGTATTTGACAAGACATTAACTCGGGAGACGGTGAGTAACAATGAAAAGGAACTAGTGTCGTTTGGAGTCGAGTTTCAAGAAACGAATTTGCACTTTCGATTCAGCTTAAATGCTGATACCGAATTATATTCTGCACCTCTGACATGTCCTACATCGATAAAGTTACAGTGCAGGGATATCACTGTTCTGTTGCATGTGTTGAAAATGTACAAGCTGAGGTGCCAGAAATACCGTGTGTGTGTGTTTATGTGTGTGTGTGTGTGTGTCATTCTCTCTCTTCTTGACGTTGCATAATCTCTCATTGTCTTTCATAATAAGTATAATAAAGACACAACATAAATGAACAACGTGTAATAACGACTGATGTTTACTCCACCTGACGAACATGACCACGAAAATGCTTTACAAACTATAAGGACACTTCTCAGATGTTCACATGTGTGTGTGTGTGTGTGTGTGTGAGTGTATTTCTCATGTGAGTTCGTGTCTGTGCCCTTGTGTCTGTGTGTCTCTCTGTGTCTGTTTGCCTGTGTGTGCATCTCTCTCTCTCTCTCTCTCTCTCTCTCTCTCTCTCTCTCTCTCTCTCTCTCTCGCTCCCCCTCCTCCCCCCTCTCTCTCCTCTCTCTCTCTCTCTCTCTCTCTCTCTCTCTCTCTCTCTCTCTCTCTCTTACTCATGAGACTCTATTACTTTATTTACGATACATCCTACTGGAAAACCAATCACCCGCTTTTTCCTGTCCCTTACATCATAAACATGTGCACATTTTTCTTATAAAAAAATGATGTTGCCATCCAAAATTTGGTGAAAATTTCTTTTTTATAGAACACTAATTAGCAGCACATTCAGGTGAAATCAGTTCAAATTAGTTTCTTCTCCATTGGTTCAGTTCCTTATTATGCACTTTAACATAATGGTCTTAATACTATGACAAAGAGCAACAGTTACTGTATTGACCGACATAAGTATCCAAAATATGATAAAAAATCCTTTATCGAGAAAATCCCTTTGCAGCACATTCAGTTGAAATCAGTTGAAATCAGTTTCTTCTCCATTGGTTCAGTTCCTTATTATGCACTTTAACATAATCCTCTTAATGCTATGACAAAGAGCAACAGTTACTGTATTGACCGACATAAGTATCCAAAATATGATGAAAAAATCCTTTATCGAGAAAGTCACTTTGCAGCACATTTAGGTGAAATCAGTTGAAATCAGTTTCTTCTACATTGGTTCAGTTCCTAATCAGCACGAAAGCAAATCGCCCAGGACAAGTGTGTCACAGAGGGTCATATGATGGCACACAGACACAAAAGCTCCAGATCACGTCTATTTCTTCTTCATATCGATGGTATACACATAACCATCCCCCGAGTTGCTATAGTTGGACAGTTTGTGATCGTTGTGTGGATGGTTTGCGGGAAGCTTGCTGAGGAGTTTATTCTCTTTCATTGCAGGGTTCTGGGACGGAGCAACGCAAACTGTTTTGGCTTTGCATCAATCTTTCTTGTAACCAGACATTCTTGAAGAGACGTCATTTGTGGCTCCAACTCGATAATATGACAGGAGTAACCTCTGTGGGAAGGGAATGGATATCTACAGGGATCATGTTGGACTTTCCTGATTAAACCAGCCTGAGTCACTTGTTTCTGTTTGATTGATGACGATCCTTGTCTTCTGCTCATATCGACAATTGATATTCCACAAGACTTTAACTCGGGAGACGGTGAGTGACAAGGTGGGGCAGGTAGGGTCGTTTGAAGTCGAGTTCCAAGAAACGAAGCTGTATTTTCGATTTAGCTTAAATACGCAGCGAAAGTTACAGTGCCTGGCTATCACTGTTCTGTTGCAGGTGTTGATAATGTAAAATGTACAGGCTGAGATGCAAGGAATTCCTTACTTGTGTTTGTGTTTTTCACTTCTGTAAAATGTGTAGTTTTGTAGAGACCCACGCGTCTCCACAACATAAAAGGGATCATGGTCTTTAACAAAGATGATTTCAAAACGAGCAATGAAAAGAAGGTAGTGGCGTTTGAATTGGCGTTCAAAGAAACAAAGTCGTACTTTCGATTCAGCTTAAATACGCAGCTAAAGTTACAGTGCAGGGATATCACCGTTCTGTAACACCCCCCTCATTCGTAGGAAAGGTTAACTACGGCCGTGTGCTTGGTTTGCTGTTCTTGCGTCATTCTGTTAAGTGCAATTAACGTACCACGGTATTAGTGTCAGTAAACACCATCGAGTTATGTCCCTTTCACCATACACAGATCACAAAATGATCAGCTTCCTTCTTTGTTTAACGCCGCACTCAGCAATATGGCGGCGATCTGAGCCAGATAATCCAAAAGCATTTGTATAGGGACACGATGACATGTGTCAGCCAAATCAGCGAGCCTGACCACCCGATCCCGTTGGTTGCCTCTCACGGCAAAGAGGGATGCTGAAGACCAATTCCAACACGGATCTTCAAAACATGAACTCCCATCTGTGAGATTAACTGGCAGCAAAACGTATCGTTACCTCATATAGTTTAGTCACGGAGTAAGTGCTATTCAATGCGTCTATATTTATTTGTTCGCACTAACTAACACACTGAGTTAGTGATTAACAACTCACGTACAGGCATTGTTAAGAGGATACATAGATAGATAAATAGTTACTACTCGTGCAATCGCAAGTGAGATCACCTGCCAGCACAACGTATCATTACCTCACATAGTTTAGTCAAGGAATATGTGTAACAGTTATTCAATATTTCTTTGGTCGCAGACATTGCCCAACACAAAAGGTTGACTTCACGTGGGAAACGAAATCAACAGTTGTGTTGAAACTAACACACTCGGGCAGTGGTTAACATAACAACTCCAGTACAGGCTAAGAGGTTACACAGAGATAGATAAATAGTTACTTCTCGCTATTAATAAAGGGCAAGTTTTCTTTTGGAGTGCTTTGGTACCGAGATGTTGGGGCGTGGACCCCTTTTTCAGGGGACGTGGTTTCGGGGTTCAATTCCAAACACTGGAACCAAATTCTACCTATGAATCTCCCGTTCTTTGTGATTCCCTACATGAGTACAATGTGTGAAGTCAATTTCTGGTGTCCCCTACCGTGAAAATGCTGTAATACAGCGTAAAACCAAACTCAATCACTCACTCACTCAGTCCTGTAAGAGATTCTACTAAGATGCAAATAGCGATGTGAAGCCAATCTCACAAACACAATCACGAACTAAGACATAGTATATCTCCTGAAATCGGTATATTGTCCCATGTGAGCGCATGGCAGCTATCTTCTTAGAAAATGATTATTCCATTTCCACGTGTTAACAATTTCGTGCAAACACGCCAATTACAAGCGCTGTTTTTATGTTTTTGTGTGCACATGAATATGGTGGGGGGTCATATTCGAAATTCAGAGTGAAATCTGTCAGTGTTTTGTTGTTCATTTCAATGATAAATTCCATGAACAAGATTGTATAGCCTGTCTGACACTACCTGTTTGTAGTTGGCCTGCTGATGAGTCATCTTGTGAATGTTTCGCATTTGCATTAAGATAACCTTAGACCTCCGACGAGGAAGTTTTAACATGTCAAAGCAGGTCTACTTTCGTTTCAGTGTAGATGGCTAGCAAGCTCATTCTTGGAATCTGTACATTGAGAAAGTACTTCCACATATCGTATTTCTTTAGCCAGTATTTAAATATGGTTAGCTGTTTTCACGGGATGTATTGCCATACAGCAAAGAGAAATCACATTCTAAGTAAAAACTTAAAACAATGTTAAAATTTTGGAAATGGGACGAAATAAAATACATCATTCTCTAACATGATACGCAACGTAACCTGTATAATGAGGATACTTTTTTATTGACATACAACTTCTTTATTGTGAAAGGCGGTGTTTTGATATGGATTATAATGTCGTTGTCAAGCAATCGTTAGCATCAATGTCGGAACGTCGCCTTTTCACAATAAAGACATTGTACACCCATAAAAGTATTATCATTCTTCATGAACCCAACTTCTAAAATGCCCATCAAGGAAGGTAAACGTAACCTGTAGTTTATCACAATATCTTAATAAGAAGAAAAAGAACATAAAATTGTGTGCTTTTTTTTTCATTTTTTAAATCGAATTGCATCATTTTACAAATCAGTATTCGCTTGGACAAACGTCAGATTTTTACATGCCAACAGTATATTTCAACACATATCCATCAACATCGCCAATGAGTATATATTAAACAATGAAGCAAAACGCATATGGATATATATCCAAAGTTCTATTGGAGTTTGCATATTTATTACATTTAACTGTAACTGTGAGTTGAGCGAGAGTCTATTTATAGTAAGTGTAAGCATTGTATCTGCGTCCTATTTTGACCTAAGTGTTTTATTGATAGCCACTATCATTAGGTCTCGGCATTCCCCACATTCATAACACAAACTGAAAGCGTTTACTTGCTGTAATCACAATTATGTTCTGTAAGTCGGGTGGTGGGGTAGCCAAGTGGTTAAAGCGTCACACGGAAGAGCCGGGTTCGATTACCCACAAGGGTGCAATGTGTGAAGCCCATTTTTAATGAGCATCGCCGTGATATTAATGACATATTGCTTAAAGCGGCGTAAAACCATACTCACTCACTCACTTCTATAAGTCGCTACTCTAAGTGCACTTCTACTTCTTCAATTGGCTATAAATGATACAATATGTCAATACATCATTCTCTTCAGTATTCTCTAAACTCCCAATGAGAATGTGTTGTTTTCTTGAAAGTGAATCTAGAATAAGGAATCCTTTTTTTTCCATTTTCCACAAGTACACGTCCAATTTCTGAATACCAGTTAGTTTTGACAAGAAGCAGGAGTAGAAATAGACTGTACATGAAAATCAAAGGATTAATACTCAGTTCACGAATATATGAAATTGAACACATATAAATTTCTCAATACTAACTTCCTTGCTATTTACTAGTATGTTTATTTACTATTATTTTCATTTTATCTAATGTTATTTACATTTGGATAAATCGATTTTTCCCTATTTGATACATAAGACACGACCTCCACCCGACCGATCAACTGTATTTCTATGTTACGCTCTGTGTGCATGTTCTAATGTTCTCTCTCCTGTGTGCAGTTCCAATGTTTTCTCTCCCCGTGTGCAGTTCCAATGTAGTCTCTACTGTGGGCAGTTTTAATGCTTTCTCTACTATGCTTGGTTCTAATGCTTTCTCTCATGTGAGCAGTTCTAATGTTTTCTCTCCTCTGTGCAGTTTTAATTTAAGTGTTTGTCCTGAACTTATGTATCTCATACATTACATAGCCATCGATAGTATAGATATGTGGCGCATAATCCCTGGATACGTGTACTATAATAGACGTACACCTCGTGTGATCACTGATTGTTCTCTGGTCCTTTCATATAATTCCCTGAGATGTTTTCCCTTTACACGAAATGGAATATGTTTCAGATGATAGTCAACCTGGATGTTATGCTCCATCAAAGTTTTATGTTTACTAAATGCATATGCATCAAAGATGAACGAAAACTAATTTGAAAGCAAACTGAATTTAAGCATGTTTTCATTCAAAATCGCTGTAAATTGCTAGGAGGTAATGATTTAAAGAAGATCAGTTTCCCAACATTGAAAAAGGATAAATTATGCGTTAGATATGGTTGGGCAACAAAGGACACGCTAATAACACTGGGGGAGTATTTAATTAATTATGTGCATATTTTTTTACCATTCACTGCTAACGAAAGGTGAAATGAACATAATCAATAATTAACGCAGTGCATATTCTATAACATAGAAGTATCAATGCTGTGAGAAACAAATCAGCAGTCATTGATTGAGTGGTATAAGCATCCAAAATTTGTTGAAAAATTCTCTTTTATAGAACACTAATTAGCAACACATTCAGGTGAAGTCAGTTGAAATTAGTTTCTTCTCCATTTGTTCAGTTCCTTATCATGCTCTTTAACATAGTGGTCTCAATGTTATGAAAAAAGCAACTGTTACTGTATTGACCGACATAAGTATCCAAAATATGATGAAATAAATCCCTTATCGAGAAAATCACTTTACAGCACATTCAGGTGAAATCAGTTGAAATCAGTTTCTTCTCCATTGGTTCAGTTCCTTATTATGCACTTTAACATAGTGGTCGCAATGCTATGACAAAGAGCAATAGTTACTGTATTGACCAAACATAAGTATCCAAAATATGATGAAAAAAACCAATTTTCTAGATAGGCACTTTGCAGCACATTTAGGTGAAACCAGTTGAAATCAGTTTCTTCTCCATTGGTTCAGTTCCTAATCAGCACGAAAACAAATCGCCCAGGACAAGTGTGTCACAGAGGGTCATATGATTCAAAGAAATGGCACACAGCGACAAAAGCTCCAGATCACGTCTATTTCTTCTTCATATCGATCGCATACACATAACCATCCCCCGAGTAGTTGGACAGTTTCTGATCGTTGTGTGGATGGTTTGCGGGAAGCTTGTTGAGGAGTTTTTCTCTTTCATTGCAGGGTTCTGGGACGGAGCAACGTAAACCGTCTTGGCTTTGTATCCTTCACTCTTGTAACCAGACATTCTTCAACAGACGTCATTTGTGGCTCCAACTCGATATCTACAGGGATCATGTTAGACTTTCCTGATTAAAGCCGCCTGAGTCACTTGCTTTTTTTGATTGATGACGATCCTTGTCTTCTACTCATATCGACAATTAGTATTCCACAAGACTTTAACTCGGGAAACGGTGAGTGACAATGAAGAGCAAGTAGGGCCGTTTGAAGTCGAGTTCCAAGAAACGAAGCTGTACTTTCGATTCAGCTTAAATGCTGATCGCGAGATATTTTCTGCACCTCTGATATATCCTACATAGATAAAGTAACAGTGCAGGGATATCACTGTTCTGTTGCATGTGTTGAAAATGTACAAGCTGATGTGCCAGAAATACCTTGATTTTATGTGTGTTTGTTTGTGTCGGTGTCTTGTGTATGTGTGATTTTGTCTCTGTCTTGTGTATGTGTGTCGGTGTCTCTGTGTCTCTGTGTCTGTGTGTTCACTTACTCAGTGTTTTGAATATATTCATTTGTTTCAGACATTTTTGGCATTTTTGCTCAAAGTTACTTCTCCGATATTTATCTATAATTGATCAATATTTAGTTTACGATTATCGATCTCTTGGATCTATATAAATAGCCAGCCATAGTAAACACCGGGTGTCTTCAAATATTCCTAGGTACCATGACATTCTGCAAGCAATTCGGCACTGTTGAAAGTGTAGGGTTTTATCCAAAGGTAAAGTTAGTAGGATATAGGATGCAGGATGCATATGACAGCCAGCTCGCGCAATTATATATGCGGGAAAAAAAAAAAAAAATATGCCATTTTGTCAAATCTGTTTATATTTAGATTTTAAACATAATCTTTTATATTTAGCTTATTACAATGTGTAAAGACATATGTCTTGCGATGAATGTTGATGAATGGTAATAAAGATGTTCGTAAATTCATATTGTTATATTTCTTCAAAAGTAACGTGTTTCCAACTAGGGAAAGTGACCATGAGAGGACTCTGAATCCTACTAAACTGAAGGGCACAGGAAATGTTCCTCTCAGTTCATTTTATGTTTGATTTTAACTGAAGATATTTTAACATGGCAATATTCTATCACAGGCATTGAACCTGCACTTAATCAGCACTCACAGATTACGCCGCTTTTAGCAATATTCCAGAGATATCACAGCAAGGGACAACCGAAATGGGCTTCACAAATTATGCCCATGTGGGGAATCGAACCCGGGTCTTCGACGTGACAAGCAAACGCTTTTACCACTAGGCTACCCCACCGCCCCCGATCCCACATGCTGTCACGGCAGAACCCTTCATTCACAATACTGCTAATGGCTGTATGCCAGGTTGACCAACATATCATGGGAACAGATTGGCCAGGACTTGTGATGCACAGTGTCTAGAGGAATCTTGTGTAAATGATTAAACAACTAGCCGTGAAGTTATATTTGTTGTATTTATTTTTAAGAACTAACTTTTATATATTGCCTTTATTGATACATAGATACATGTCTTTTGTTTTCACATATTTAATGTCCAAAACAAAAACGGACAAACAATGATTAAAGTCTAAATCTAAGTAAGTGAATATATATTCGTGAACAATTTACATATACATTATATATATACATGCATATTATAGATTATATATCCTCATGCCAATAATGGTTGTCACCCCTTTCAATTTTATTAATAGGCTGGGGGTTGACAACCATTATTGGCATGAGTAGATATATGTGTGTGTGTGTGTGCGTGCGTGCGTGCGTGCGTGCGGGAACTTGAGTATTGGGATATATATCCCCTTCAACCAGAACTTGTACTAAATTTGTGTTTCTTGTTGTTTCATTCAGTTCAGTTAATGTGCCACGGATTCAGTGTCCTTAAACACCATCGAGTTATGTCCCTTACACCATATACAGATACACATTTTTCTGTGATCAAAAGCATTGCAACACGATGACATGTCATTCGTCACCACTCGCCCCTTTCCGTAACCTCCAAGAAGACTCGTCGCCCACTCGATACTTGTTATGTGCGAAAATAGTACAAACCAATCAGAACGCGCGTAAATGAGCGCGGTGCTTTGATAAAAATAATCCCGAGTACTTAAATCGTTTATCGCATTATGGCATTGTTTAAAGAATCATGAAAAATATATATCGTCATTTTGAAAGTACAAAGAACGAAGCTAAAAGGATTTTGCTAACTATTATGAAGTTTTTAATAAGAATCATGCGATTGACGGCGAGAGATTCAAATACACGCACATGCGTTTGTTGACATAACGGCTCTCATGGGTCCAACTGAGTGTATCTCTGACGAGCTTGCGGCCTTGTTATGGAGATTGTACGTGCGCTTCGACCAATTTAGGAACCGCAATTATAATCGCTACGAGTTTCAAAACAATAATATCGTATTTGTATGTAACTAATCAACCTTAATCTTTAACATTGGGCTTATATTTCATAGCTCTGGGGATATTTAGTCAGACTGTTGTTTGGTCATTCATATTGTTTTCTGCGAATTCATTTGAAATTCCACCTGGGGTGTGACAGCAAGGTTACACGAATGTTCAGTTTGAGAAATATTTTAAAGTCATTTTTGAGTATCTGCTTTGGGATTTAATGTAGCTGAAAAAAATATCATTTTATTTGTATATTCAATAAAACAATTCCCATTCGTGATTATTAAACCTTATTTAGAACATTAACATAATTGGAAATATAAGGTGAACAGATGGCAATAATTACATACGAATATGTCTTTAACAAATATGATTTTCTCCTTCTTGTAGTTGTAACAAAGAGGTTTAATTCTTTAAAATAGATAAGAAGAAAAAAACAACAACCTAGCAATGTACATGTACTTCGGTGATGTTAAGAAACATTGGTATCAAACAGGCATAGAGTTATCGTTCTTGTTTAAAGTAGTTCTGATGTTCATGCGCCAATATGAAATCCTTCGAGAGGGGCACGAGTCGCTATTCGGCTTGTCCCGGAATAACACGAGTGGGTCACGAATGGATGACATGTGTGAACTAAGTCAGCGAACATATTAGAAAAGTCTGTGACTGATATATCACTGTAAAATCTCTTTTCAATTATTTACGTTGCTTTTTGGAAAGTAATCCAAAAGGCACCGGGTAGTCACTACTCACGTTTAATAAAAGGCAAGTTTTCGGGTGGAGAGTTTGGTACCTGAGATTGGGCCGTAGACCCCGTTCGGGGAACGCAGGTCCGGGGTTCGAGTCCAAACACAGGAACAAAATACTACCCATTCTTTATGTCTTCGGTCAGAGCTTCCCCACATGAGTACAATGTGTGAAGCGTCAACTATATTGACGTTGGGTTTTCATAATGACTAATGGAGTGGTGGGGTAGCCCAGTGGTTAAAGTGTTCCCTCGTCACGCCAAAGGTCAAGGTTCGAGTCCCCATCACTGGTGTCCCCCGTCGTGATATTGTTGGAATATTGCTAAAAGCGACGTTAAACCATACTCACTCACTCCTGTCAGAGATTCTACTAAGATGCTAATAGATGAAAGACAACTCACAAACACAATCACGAAGTAATATACTGGACGAAAATAGTTAGGGATATATGTAAATTTTGAAATTATGAATAATGATCTATTTATTCATTGACACACTGATAAAATATCAATCATAAAAATACCAGTATCCCTAACTTATTTTGTCCAGTATATAGTTTACCCGACCTCCCCTGCAGTACCCCCAGTTTGTAGCTTCTGTGTATAATATCCATCCTATGTGCATGCTAACTCTTTACCAAATGGTGTTCTAAGGGTTTAGTTTTATGCCACTTTTAGCAATATTCCGGGGAGTTGGGAGGGGGACACCAGAAATGGGCTTCATACATTGTATCCATGTGTGGAATCGAACCCGGGTCTTCACCGTGACAAGCGAACGCTTTAGCTACTAGGCTATCTCACCGCCCCTATGATGTGCACGTGAATATGGTGTGGGTCAAATTCGAAATTCAGAGTGAAACATGTCAGTAAGTTGCTGTTCATTTCAGTGATAAATTACATGCACAAGATTATTGTATAAACCTACTTGTTTGTAGTTTGCCTGGTGATGTGTCGTCGTGTGGCTGTTTCTCATTTGCATTAAGATAACCTTTGGCATTCAACGATAAAGTTACACCATGTCAAAGCAGGTATATGAAATCGATATATCGTCCCATGTGAGTGTCTATATCGTCTACTTGTGTTTCAATATCAAGCACAAGCACATTCTTGGAATGTGCATTGAGAACGTATTTCCACACCATGTCATATTTCTATAGCCAGTAGCATAAACATGGTTAGCTGCTTCCACGGGATGTATTGCCATTGCACAGCAAAGCGAAATCACATTCTAAGTGAAAAGTCTAAAACATTTTTTAAAAACGGGATGAAACATATGCATCATTAACTTACACGCTTTGCAACCTAACCTATATCACGATCTTACAAATATAATAATAAGAACATAAAATCATGTGATTTCACGGACTATCTTTTAATGGAATTTCCTCATTTTACAAATCTTGGAGAGGG